AAAAATATTTTTAGCAAATACTTTTGCAGTAGTTAGTTTTTAATAAATCTAAAAATTTTACTTCTAATAATTAAATACTAATGCCCCCGACTATCCCTATTAATTATTATAGCAGTTTTAGAAACTAACAAAATAAAACTATATATTTTATTTTATTATTCTATACTAATATATTTAAGCAAAAGCCTGCTTTAAATACTCTAATTTTTTTAAAATAAAAGTCCTAGTCCCCAATACGCCTAGTAAAAGGCATAAAATTTTCTAAAAAAAAAGCTTAGCTAGACAAGTATATACAGTAAGGCAGACTTACTAGCTAGACCTAAGTTTTAACTACAAGCTTTTTAACTGCAACAACTTTAATATATACTATTAGAGCTAGAATTACTGCAGCTGCTAGTACTAAACTTACCCTCTAATTATTCTTTATTAAAAAGTTTAAATTGTACTTATTCCAATTACAAAACCCAAAAAAGCCCTATATTAGTATTTATTATTACTACTTTTTTATATTAGGATTAAGTAATTTGCGCGCCTGCTGCCTTTTTTAAATATAGTAGCTATTTTTTAAACTCTTTTTCTAGAATTAAACTCTAATTCCCTGTTACTTATTAAAACTATAGTAAGCTAATACCTTACTATTAAAAGTTAATAAAGTAGAAATTTAAATAAACTGTTACTAGCGCAAAGCTATATAATCTATAAAATTATTATAAATTACTAAAAAGCCCTAAAAGGCGTTAGTTTTTTATCTAATAAATATACCCTTTCTAAAGTTAGGGTTTTTAGCATATATTAGCTCTAGAATTACTATAGTTATCTAAGTAGTAAAGTACTATTAAATAAATAATAACTAATTTAATAAGCTATTTGCAGTTTTATAGTATAATTGCTTATACTTAAATATATATAGCTTAATTTTTAAAACAAGTATATAACTACTAGTAAAATTAACTAAGTAATAATCCTACACCTAGGCGCACAAAGCACGCGGGCACAAACTCTCTAGAAAAAGTAAAAAGTACTAAATAAATAGCTATACAAAGCAGCGCTAGCTACTTACTATAAAAGTACACAAAGCACTAATGCTATAAACAACTAATTTAGTTACTTTTACTAAATTTCCCAAAGTGCAGTCTAAAATAAAGTATTACTAGTATTGCTGCTAAAAAAAACCTGCACTATACGCACTTTAAAAAGAAAAGACTTATAATTGCCTTATTACGCATATAAGCGCAGATATTTAGCAGAAATATTTCTAGAAATTTAATAAATAATTAGCAAAGCTAGCTATTTACAAACCTTAAATAGTACTTATTTATAAAAATAAATAAAACTTTAAATATTAACTGCAAAAACAAGTGCAGCGCTAGAGCATTATTTTGTAATATAAGCCTTAGCTAACTTAATTAGGCAGAAAACAGCTACTTAGCCCCTAATATTATACTAACTAAAATAAATATTACTAGCTAATATTTAAAAAATAGAGCGTGCAAATACAGAACTATAAATACGCAAACTACTTACTAACAATACCTAAACTATTACTAAAAAGCAGTAGAAAATAAATGTAGGTAAAATAGTTTTTAAGCTACTTCTTTTACATTATGCACTCTACTAATAGCTAGCTTTTAGGTATAAAAAGCCCCTAAAAGCTTTTTTTATGCGCAAAACTAACAAGTACTAGTATACTTATTAATAA